TGGGGGAGGGGGGGGGGGTCGAAAAACAATAACGAAATTGATGATTTTTTTAAAATACATTTTTTGATTTTTTCAAAATCCTATGCAAAATTCCAGATAGCCTAGAAGAATGGGTGAAACGGATATGAAACAGACACGTCATATGTGGCTGTATGGGGGTCATCTGAAAATCAAATGGGGATCATATCGACGGGTCCTAGAAGAAAAGGTCTATCTCGGAAAGATCATTCGAAAGGGGTCTATCTCAGAATTCCGATGTAAAAGGGTCTAACTCGATGTTTTCTATCTAAAAGGGTGTAACTCAATTCCCCCCGCAAGAAGGGTCTATCTCAGAAGAAATCTAAAAGGGTCTAACTCAGGTGGACTTCTACTAAACACTGATTAAGATTAAGGAGTAATTGTCTCGCTGTGTACCGTCTCTAATAACAGAGTACAGCAAAATAATCATGCGTTCCGCGAATGGTGAATGTATGATTCTCTACGGAATTAGTCATTTGAGAAGAAAATTGTGAGTGTCAATTTTTTAGTGAAATTTCGTTATGTCTTCTCTTAAAATTTGTTATTTCTTCTTCAAATCACTCATTATTATAATACAAATGTATCTATCGAAATGATAGATGTTGCAGGGATTGGCAATAAGAAAACGAGAGAAATACACACCAGTAACGCGTAATCTTCTCCTGCAGAGTAATTTCAGAGTGGGAAAACTGATGACTTGGTCTGGGGAGGAATGTAAACGTTGCGGAGAATGGACTGATCTTTACATTGATGAGAAAGCTGGACCGAATGAGTCAATAATGGTGGAACGAGCAGTTGGGCTTTAGGATTGTTGACATGTTTTAGGAACTCTAGGAAAGAAAGGGTGGGGATTCATGGAGAGGGTGAAGTTTGGGCTAGATTCAAATGTCACCTTCATGACACTCACCAGAATTCAACAGCAGTAAGTTTTCTACAGTAAATTAGGCTTGTTCCCTCACTGCACTCTTCATGCTCACTCTATATCACTGTCGAAGTGATCGTCAGAAGTGAGCGGGGCTTTTCATGATCGTCGAGATACATTCGACTTGGATTTTGTCCCTGACGATGATGGCTTCGAAGAGATTTTTAACGACTGATAGTAGGCATGATAAGCCGGAGGAATGGCGTTTTTAGAGCACAAGAATAAGAAGTCCTGTAGTTTTCCTTCAGGAATCCCAAGATCGTTCGAATAGGCTCTCTTCAATTCATAAGTTCTCAAATCCAATGGCCGAGTACGCTTCGGGACGTCAATTTTTTGGTAATCCTCATTGAAATCTGTCTTGAATTGAAGTACGTTTGGAGTTTCAGGGCTAACGGCAATCTTTTCAACTTGAGACCACGGGACTTTTCTCTTCTCCACGTCTAAAGTCCACTGCTGTTTCGCCACTAGTTCCTTGAAATCAAATATTATTTCCTGTGAAACTTGTGTCACAACGTACTCGCCGCCTTCGGCGTCTTGTCCCTTTGCCGCCTGAATGATTCCTTGCAATTGATATGGAGTGAAGATCTCTCTGTCAGCTGATTTTCTCTCGATACATGCATGCATGGAATCACTTTCATTCTGGGTATGACCCTTTTCCAAGAAGCGATGAGTAATCTGAACGTTGAAGTGACTGGCGGCCAATACGTACATCGAAAAGACGAATCGATTGCGATTTTGTGCAGGAAAATTATCAGAATAGAAAATGAATCGTTTCACTCCATTTCTACTCTTCTTCTCGATGTAATTCATGACGAAACTCGCGATTTCATTGGGACCTTTAGTACCGATATTCTATGTCCATAAATAGCAATAGCCTTGATGTGGACCGATATCATAAACCGCGAAATTGAACACGTGATATTTCCTTCGATAGTACAAAAGCCCACACNCATTGGGACCTTTAGTACCGATATTCTATGTCCATAAATAGCAATAGCCTTGATGTGGACCGATATCATAAACCGCGAAATTGAACACGTGATGTTTCCTTCGATAGTACAAAAGCCCACACTTCCCCCGTGGCAATTGGAATACTTTTTGAAGATCGAAGCAGGAGACACTGAGATGAGTATTCCCCTCCCTTTTCGCTTCCATTGCATCCGCCTTCTTCATCTCTCTAGCTCGCACTTTGTTAGCCAAATGAGTCTCGTATTTCTCTTTTTTCGCTAATTTATCGTCGGGTTTGGAGTTTTGATAATCCACGCAAATGTCGCATTAATCTTTCTTGGGCTTGAAGAATCCGATGTTGAACTCAGTGTTGAATACGTCCCTCCATTGTCTGACAGTTGCTGGTTCAAGGCCTTGCTCTTTCACCCAGCCCACATAATAAGTGTGCATTTGAGGAATCGATAAATTTTCCTCGAGATATTCTCTTTTAGAATCTTTCCGAGTGTGATGTGATTCTACGCGTGGAAAGAGATTGATGTGGTCCACAATACTCTTCTTTTTATCGGGTGTGAGTCCGCGAGAATGCGTCGAATTTGTCTTTCCTCGGTAGTTCCCAGGGACTGCATCCCCACTCTCCATTTTCTTCAAGGCTGTGTCAACTCACTTATGGCTTATCGATAAAGTTTGTAAGAATATCGTCTTACAAACGACAATCTTGACACCGTTGACTTGGAAGAAGAACTGTCGCGATTTTTTTCTTCGTGTTTCATTCTCAATGTTACTGCTTTTATCCTTCACAAGAACATGCCTAATGATAAAATCCCACTGTCGGGCATGATCTCCAATTTCCCAAAAATGGAAGAAAATAGCTTGTCTATCTTCTTGCGTCAATTTCGTCTCGCATTCCAATGGACATCCTGGACCACGAGGAGCTCCAAGTTTACTGGCCGGGACATATGTTTTTCCATCAGCAGCGAGATGCTCTAATCCCCGATCCCCAGCAATTTTAGCAGCTTTGCTGCGTCATTTTGATGGATTCAATGATCTTTTCCGCGTCAACTTCTCTGGAGCAGTGTATGTCGTTGTGTGCTTGGGCCTCACATTGGAAGAACTTTCTTGAGAAGGGAGTTCGACATGGGAGCTCGAGGCAGGGAAGAATACATTCGTCGAGGGCGATAATGGTAGCGGATACGTCGGAGGGATAGGTTATTCATACTGCGAACTAGAAGCTTCTGCCCTGTCATAAACATCTTCAACTGGAGGAAAATTCATGGGAGTCGATACGAAAGGGTGGCTTGGCTGAAGTGATGCGAGAGAATTACATCCGAGGATTGAAATGGGAGCACAACAGATCTGCGGATTCTGCTGAATGACTCCATTCTACGTATAAAAATTCGACATGTTTTGCAATACGCCAATTGGGTAGTTAGGCTTCCTTGTTGTTATTATCCTACCGGAATCCATATCGAGCCAATTTCCTGACTCTGCAAGAATTTTGTTATCGAAAAGTTTTCATAATCAATTGAAATAATCAGGAATCACCATTTCTGGGGCTTGTATCTCTTTGCAGACTCTGCGAAGGAAGCACACTTGAATTCGTCAATGCATTCATATAAAACGCATACTCTCCACCTAGTAGAAATGATAGAATTCGCTAACCTGGGAGTTATAAGAATTAAACAAGAAAAACAAGTTGAACAGAGGATGGGAAGCAGTGAGAAATGAATCATAACATTTGAGATGAAATTTTCGCAGGCTCGACATTTTGATATCCAAATTTTTCNAAGGAAGCACACTTGAATTCGTCAATGCATTCATATAAAACGGATACTCTCCACCTAGTAGAAATGATAGAATTCGCTAACCTGGGAGTTATAAGAATTAAACAAGAAAAACAAGTTGAACAGAGGATGGGAAGCAGTGAGAAATGAATCATAACATTTGAGATGAAATTTTCGCTGGCTCGACATTTTGATATCCAAATTTTTCAACGAAATTAATTATGTAGTAAATTAACCAGTAAAACTTGACGTCGAAAATTGTAAGAGCGCGATAAATCGAAAACTTATAGGAAAATATTTAAATTAAACTTACAGGGAGAATCCGCAAAATTGAAGCCAAAATTCAGATTTAGCGGTCCAGACATAATTGCCGTTGCCCAAGATCCGACTATCTACTTTACACTCTCCACATTACTTTTTTTTCACTTTTTAGCGTAATTAATAAACGTGCTCAAATCAATGGTCTGTCAAACCCGAGAACACAATGAAGTTAGTGTAAATACAGGTTGAGGGAAATATTTTACGATCGTCGTCGTGCGAGTACCAGTATGAATTTAGCAGGAATTTCCCAATTCCCCCAATATATTTTAGTACATTAGAGTACAAGGGCACAAATTTCGTTTTCAACGAATGTGTGTACAGATCTCGCCTTCGGCTCGGCCTGTAAACTACACATTCGTTGAAAACGAAATTTATTACCGAGTACTCTATAATATTTTATGTCAAGTCGTGCAGAAGTCGAGTTTTGAGCAAGCTGCGCGAAGCGCAGCGTGCGATGAACTCGACTTATTGCACGGCGCGACATAAATATCATTATTTAAATAGTAGTTAGTAGGGGTCCACCTGAGTTAGACCCTTTTAGATTTCATCTGAGATAAACCCTTCTTGCGGGGGGAATTGAGTTACACCCTTTTAGATAGAAAACAT